TTGACGAAGATCATTTTAAACACGATATAATGATTACATTCAGTTCAATAATATGTGAGAACGGATTTAAATACTTTGCATATGAGTTCGTATGGCTAACAAAAATATACCTTATTTTAGTTTACAATAGCTTCTAATTTTAGTTTGAATAGCGTATTTAAAAATAGTTGTTACATAGAAAAAATTGTGACCTGTAATGTGTATGTCTAATATAAAAAATCCATGTCACAATTTTAGTTACCGTTTAGTTGCGAGTACCTACTCCTCCGTTACGGCTTTACCGATTTTTACCAAATTTTATTCACGTATTCATTACCTAGATCTGAGAATAGGCTAATATCTATCTTTCATATCCCTAAGTAAAAAGGGTTATTAACTCTTAATTTTTCTTTAAATTTTTGTATGACAATTTTTTTTAATTAAAAAATACACACAACCCTAAATTTTTCTATATGACAAAACAATATTTGCCGGGTCAGTTAGTTTGTTACAAAAATCACTTCTTATAATTTGCAGGCGTGGCAATGACGTCATAATAATACCTAATAATAATCATAAACATGTCTACATAATATGTCCTATCTGATTTATTTTAATCCTGAAATACTCGTTATTTTAAAATACAATTTTTACATCTTGCAGCTATTTTTGGCAGCTTATAACCTTTTAGAAGAGAAACGTAAAGAATTTAATATTTTAAAAGTCAAAGATCAATTTTTTTATATATGTATATAAAACTATTAATATAGACGAAGGTTCCAAATTATATTTTTTTTCTAGTATCCTTGTTATAAATAAATATTTAGTTATGACAGTATCAACACAAAACTGTAGACAACAATTTTTATAAGCCATTTCCAATGATATGTTTTCTTGCAAATAAGACACATTTTCTTCAAAACCAGATTAAGGGAGCGGGGGGCACGTTGTTACAATTTTTAGATAATTATTAATATCACAAAAGCTATCAAATAATGTATACATTTGATTGCTTTTACCATTAGTGTGTCTATTCAGCTAGTAGAATAGAATTGGAAAAATATTAAAATTTACGTATTTTTTCCCAAAATAGAGAATTAATGAAATAAGTCGATTGCAACAACTTACCCCTGACTTGGGGCTAGTTGTTACACCTTCGGGGCACGATGTTACAGTAGGTATATAAACAAAATGAACAATAATAAATCATTTATTTTTTATTATTTCAAAACGTTATGAATAAAAAAATCTATTTTGATCAGTCTTATAACATTTATGAGCAGTTATAATATCTATATCATAATTTTCCAACTTTTTAACAGTAATAATCACATAACTTTGGCAGGAACTTTCTTAAATCTTATATATCGTTTATTTTAGTTATTTTGGTTTATCGGTTAATACAGCGGACTTACGTTTACGACGGTAATGGATGGATTATTTTCGAGCCTCTGCCTTGGGAAAGGACCTTATCTTTGAAGGCGAAAAATTTTTAAATGTACTTTATATACCAGATGGACCTGGTATCTCTACTTCAATTTTATTTTTAAAACTTGACGAATCTGCACTTGGCAATGTTGTTAAACATTCTGTATCTTGCGAACAAGCTGGATTTGGAGAAGGTAAAACAGTAATATTGTTAATAGTGTCAGGTAATAGATTGGTTGCTGTTTCGATTGCCTGTATGATTTGATTTGTATGATATCATTTTTTCACTTTCCATTTATTCTAATTTTTAAGTACAGTGAAGTTCTAAATGATAGTCAATGAGATGAACGGTAATACAAGATCTGAGGCAAGTTGTTACATGTAACAACCTACCCCGAAAAACTGTAACAACCTGCCCCACGGTGTGTTTTTTAATTAAAATTAAAGCCGCCACTAATGGACATCAGTAGCAGAATAAAATGCTATTACAAATTAAAACTCGATACATTATGAACGTTCGAGGTGAAAAGAATTTAGAGAATAACAAATATAGATAGCAGGAATCAAAAATTTCGTAAAAGATTTTGTTACGAACTTGATGGAAATCGAGACACATGCACATAACCCAACAGTTTGCCGCTTGGCGGGTCACCGATTGTTTTTTTGCAACGCACGATGTTATAAGAAAACAAATGAGTCCACTTACGTCTACCAAAGAGTTGAAAATCCCGGTAAAAAATGCGTGTAACTTCTTACCCCTGTAACAACTGGCCCCCCGCTCCCCTACGTCAAAAGTATCAGTTGGTCTATAATAATGTACTATATATTCGACTTTTAATAAAAAAAAGAGATAAAGTATTGTGTACTAATTAAAAAATTGTAAAGAAATCTGTTAAAAAAACCAATAATTATTTATGTATGTACATAATATCTAAGAGTATTTAGACATCACAGATTAATGCATTCCCAAAAGGGTTGATGTCAGCCGGTTGTAAAAAAAATTAGCCAAAACTATTCACAACATGTAAGGCAGACCCTGGCTAAAGCTGGGATAATGCCAGGTAGAAGATAATCCATGAAAAAGGAGCGGCCAGGTGTGTTCAACCTGTTTACGATTCCTTAATATTCATACAAGTGTGACGCAAGCCGTTCTGTTTATTTTATATAGATTAATACGATACGATGTAAATATAGGATTTGAACAGCCAGGGGTCAATGAACCACGAATATTAGATATAGGAATATTATGTTACTCGTGCCTTATAAATGTAAACAGATTTTTGACTCAAATCAAACTTATATCTTTTCTTTACCTTACGGTTGCTGAAATGTAGCCTAAACGTCGGAAGTATGTAGTTTTTTACAAAAAAGCACGCGTAGTATATCCGAAAAATACCTATTAGTTTCTTTTAAATGAATAAGACGAAACTCTAGTCTCTTTATGACTCCTAGTTACCAAAAACTTCTTACATAGAAGAATTAAATTGTTAGTCAAATTATCTTTGAGTCAGAATATTCTTTGGGATAGTCTTGGTAAATAAAGATTTGTAGCTTTTTAAAAGTATCTGAAATGATTACAATATAATATTTACATTTATCTATACTGTAATAAATAAAGTTATTTCGTCTATCTGTCTGTTCGTTACAATTACGTGCTGAACCGCGGCTGAATCGTTTTTGATGATACCCGTTATCTTAATAGATAGAATCTGAGAGGACATGCTTCTGATAAACAACGCCCACGTGGAACAACAATCCATTTGTATTTTTGTTGTTATTTTACCTTATTATACGGAATACGTTATAAGTTTATTTTTAAAACTAATTTGAATAATGAAAATAGATTTTATTATTATCTATTTATAGAGTCGGTCACCTTCCAAAAATAGACGATTTATTTTCGGTGTTCGGCCACCGTTTAGATTATACGGAAGAATGTTTAAAGAAAACTTGATTATGTCATAAAATATGCGATAATATTGAATTATTTTGTCATATATGTTCATTACAACCGTTTTACAAGTAATTTAGGGTTAATTATTAAGTTTAAGATACAATCGTATAAAGCACGCTATACATACTCCGCGCCGCGTCCGTCCTTGAGTCAACAATACCTCGACCACGCGCTAACATATTCAACGCGGCGATTGATGAAGTATAAAATTTCTCAGTAACGTCCCATTCACAATGGAATTATGATAATTTATCGGTTGGCTTGTGCCGGGCGAGTGTGTGGGAACGCGCTCGGCACGGGCTTTCCCACGATGTTGAACCGGGGCGAAGAATGTCCTCTAGCATACACAAGAAATCATCACTTAAGACTTTACACTTCTAACCGCTGCAACTTATTATATACGAAACGTCGTAAGCGACATAAAGCCGCTGGAAGTGTACGAATTCGCCCGTCCGAATAGTTCAATGTTCAAGTTAGGACATTTTGGTTTTACGATTGTAGTTAGTAGCGCGGTACTTTGCACCGTATAATCGCTAGTCGACTCGACTGTTGTGGGAACTCACACCTTTGAATCGATAGCGAATGTTATTGTCTTTGACTAATTAGGATGAGCTAGATACTTAATGACGGTTTACAAATTAAACATCTTTGTTTCATATAAAGATTTCCTTTGAAATCTGTCTCGGATTGATCACAATACTCTTTGAATTTAAGCTGAGTACAAATGTTTTTCGTAACTAAAACACAATGTGTCCGCCAACGTTTTCTAAGTACTGATAATTTTATGTATCACTCACTTGTAAAAAAGATTGTATAGCAATTTCTATTCCTTCGTCTGTATGACGGCGATAACAGGCCGCGTGCGACACCTCCGATCACAGGGTTGGCGCTACATAGAAAATATAATAAATAATAATAATAATATTAATTATCAATAAATGAAAATTTAGTCTATATTTGAATTATTCATAAATTATTATTTTATCTAAAAAAAAATCTTAATTCAGTTATTTATTTTTTTATTTTACAATAATTTTTTTCGTTTAATATGTTGTAATACAATTTAAATCTATTTTATTTACTATATTATTTAATGTGTCGCGAATCTATATAGTGGCCGGGTGATGTCTTTGACACGAGGGGAGCGTCTTACGTGAGGGTACGCGTGGGAAAGCGTGCTGGCCAGGTGATGATACTTGGAGCTACAGCTGTTTGACTTATTATAAATATTATGCTAATTATATTAAAGATAATAAAATCTCTTTAAGTTTAATACGTATTTTCATATGTTAGTTAATTTAATTTTTAATGTTCTTTACCTTTTTAGTCATATTTTGATGTTTCTGATTCATAATAATTGAAACTATTCTTACATATTTGAATGATATTCTTTCTATAATAATATTTTAATTTTTTTATTATCATTTATTTCTATTATACCATGAAATATAAAATATATTTATATAGCAAAATCTTTCATTTATCTGTGAATATTTTTTAAAACTTTTAAAAATAATAATGATCGTCAGCCCTATCTTTATCACGGGCGCTTCGCCACAATCGCCGTAGGGCGCATAAAAGGCGAGCGTCGACCAGCGCGCGCGCCACTCGTACACAGACCGCCGCGAGGACAACAACCATGATACTCCCGAGCCGCACCACGTCTCCCACACACGGGGCCTTCCACCCGCCCACACACGCGCACCCCGACGAGGAGCCCGTCTCCAGGACCTACCAGTACAGGAAGGTTATGAAGCCCATGTTGGAGAGGAAGAGGCGAGCGCGGATCAATCGCTGTCTGGACGAGCTAAAGGACCTCATGGTGACCGCGCTACAAGCGGAGGGAGAAAACGTCTCCAAGCTCGAGAAAGCTGATATATTGGAATTAACAGTCCGCCATCTACACAGCCTCAAACGGAGAGGCCAGCTAGTGTTGAAACCCGAAATGTCTTACGCGGAACGATTCCGCGCCGGTTTCGCTCAGTGTGCTACTGAAGTGTCGCAGTTCATAACCAGCGCTACGGTCGCCGCTAACGCGATGCAGCGCCAGGGACCCGTGGACCCTCAGGCTGGGGCTCGGCTGCTTCAGCACCTTAGTAATTGTATACGAAGGCTTGAAGCACCCGTTCAACCACCAGTGGTTCAACCTACAGTGGTTCAGCCGCAGCCGATCGCGCCTAGTGGTGTCGCGAGGCCTACGCCGGTCCTGCCCCAGGCCCCGCAGACCCAGAGGACCCTCGAGCGAGGCCTGAAGAGGCTAGCAGAGGAACCCATCGACGTGGAAATGCTCGATACAAAAAGAGTGTATCCGCCTTCACCGCCACACAGCCCCGCCTCCGAGACGGACTCCGCCCAGTCGATGTGGAGGCCCTGGTGACCTGGAATTACACCTGGACCTGGAGCTAGACCTCGACCTGGACTCCACCAAACAGTGTGATAGTTATATATTGTTGTTCAATTATCGTTAACGTTCCTAGAATGTGTGTTTTAAATGTGCATGAACTCGCTTTGCTTGTTGAAGTTTTGTTTTATTTTTTTTAATTTAATAAACTAAGTTCTCTTTTTTGTTTTCGTCTATTAAATATTATGTTATCATTGTATTCCTGGCTTCAACGTCTTCCGCGTCGGTGGCACTCTGTTAATTATATCGAGTATTTAAGTTAAGCGCTAAGTTACAACTGTGATACCTATTTGAGGCATAATTCGAATAGGAACTTGTGTATATTAAATACATACGCTATGAAAGTGAGAGGATAATAAAGAAGATTTTTTAATTAATATAAATTTGTTTTAGTGATGTTCCCGTTTCAATAGAATTAGAATTTAGGACGAAAATAACCGAACAAGTTGTATGCAAACAGAATTAATATTAAAAAGTCTAAAACCGGCTAGCGTGTGAACATCGCGATAATATTAAAATCTCTTTTAAATCTTGAATAATTTATGCTAATACATTATATTGACGCAAATTTAAATTATGTAACTTTTATAATTACTTTATGTTTAAACTGTATAGTTATTTATTGTACGAGACGTTCTAAATGTCAATTCTCACGGTGTTTGTATCAGATCCGTTATACTCTCCAAGCGTCTTACTTTTACGAAACAGTTATTTAGTTACTTTATTTTACAATGATATATACTTTAAAACATATATATCTTCCCTATAGTATTAAATTTAAATACTAACATATTTATTTTCAATTATGAATAGTATTAAAACTAGTATAGATATAAAATTAAAACTACATACATAACCTTTAACGGGAACGATCATACAGCAATTTACTGTTATTGGCGTAATAACCATATTTACTCTCAGTAGTAAAATAAAAGTTTTCAGAAACTTAACTGCCGCTTTTAAATTTAGTTACGCTAGTTATAGATATAACAAATTGGCGAAATTTCATATATATTGTAATTGTCTACAGTTTATTGGTAACATACGGACGCGGTTGATACAGAAAATGTATTCCATTGACGTTTATAGACTATACTAAATTCGTATAATCTGTGATCGTTCGGAAATCTGAATATAAATATTATGATTGTCAAGTCGTAAAATAAAATATATATCAATAAATTTAAATAAAACTGTATCATAATTATATAATAAATTTGTAACGATGATCGTTGAGTGTTCCTTAATGATTTATTTGCTGATTTGATAAGAGATTAAAAAAAATTCAACGTACGTTGTCAAATTATAATCATTAATTAGAAACGATAAGCCGAATATCACATAGAGTATTGATAATTATTTTAAATAACTTATTGATTTGAATACATAATATTGAAGTTATTTTTATAATGTATCGTAGTTATAATTACTAGCGAAAGTGTTCCAAATCTATTACCATATTACTCATTAAATACTTAAGATTCACTTATTAATCTGTCATCAAAATCGAGGCAACATTTTAAAACATACAGCTTTTAAACCGGAACATTAATATGAATGAAAGATGCATTTTTTATTACATTATCTATGACATCTTAAAAGTATACGTCATAATTACATAACGACTTCCGGTTAAACAGGGCTGAAGCAATTGTATACATAAAAACCAAACATTGATTAAGTATAATGAAACAGCGAGATATTTAAAGGGTTTTACTAAGTAGCGTTTACAGGCGCGCGTATTGAATTAGTCCGGCCATTCTAATTGGTCGTGTTGCGTGTTTGGTGCTTGGACCGTGGGAAGGTGAAAACGAACAACGATTACGCTACGGTGAGATTTGATTGAAGTGTAACAGAAATACACGTTTTGATGTAAGTAATACAACTTAAAAAAAAGTAAAAAAATATCGAACAAATAAATAATCGTTCTGAAATATATAACAATATTATTCACTGTTCCTTCATTATGAATGCGGTAATTATTTATCAGTAGTTTCTCACAATTGTGACAAAGAATTTTTTAATGATAGCAACACTGTTAATTTTCCTTGTATGAGATTCGCGCCTTTTAAGGACGTCGATGACGTCACGATTGTGTGACATTCGATTTTTAAATCCATTTATTTAACATTGACACGAATGACATAAATTAAATACAACTCAGATTCGACAGTTACATAACATAACAAATTAGCAATATTATCTGTATTTTAATGGAATGGCGGTAATAATAAATTAGAAGCATCGGATCATGTTACTTGATGGACATCTTGTATATATTATTAAAGGTTGAAAACCATTAAAACAGCCACGCCAAATTTGAAGTTTTTTTGAAAATGGAACTTTCTTTACCATGAAAGATAAAACATATGAATCTAAGTATAGGGAATACAAAACAAATTGAACGTCAAAATTGACATAAGTACCATCGTACTCAATTAAAAATGACGGAAATAACATTTTTTTTTTAATTAACAAGTTTCTACATTAATCTCGAATCTTCAATCTATTGAAGGCGTACTCGGTCACGTTTTTTTATTATTTTTTTCATATGTTTTCTCTCGATATATTTTGATACCAGTTAGACTGAGTTTTGAAAGACAGCACACGTAACGGAACTGTTAAGATGTTTAATGTGCTATTCAATCGTGTTACAAGTTTATGGCTTTTATATAACATGATGTGTATACATATACATCTATATTTATTTATTTATTTATCAAATAAATGAATAAATTCTATAGATTGCTAGTCTAGACTCAAAATTATAATATGATTTTAACTCTTAAAGATTATGTATGAAGTCTTAGTCTATGTATACACGCTACATTCAGAGTATTAACACTGTTTTATTCATAAATATTTACATAGGTTATAGAATGAAAAAACGGGAAACTCTACGTATGTAGTTCGCCACTTGTACTAAAGCTATTTCGTTTTTGCTAACTTCCAAAATCACGTAACGGACCTCTCTATAAAGGCATTCAAATATAGTGAGTTTAATAAATGCTGTCTAGGAATAATCTATACAAGTACTAAGAAATTTAATTCTGTCGTTGGAAACTGTTAGACATAGAGTAGACAAAGATAGCAGTTAGTGCACAGACTAAAAATAATCTTGAATATGAATAGAGTAAAAAAAATACACGAATTTATTTTTTAAATTTATTATTTATAACTAGTATCGAGAGAGTAATCTTTTATATATTTAAATATTAAAGAATTAAAATTTAAAAAGTAAGTATTGCAGTAATTCGTAACACCAAAAGCGAATCAACATTACACCTTAAAAGGAACCGGTTCTGTAAAAACAAAAATGCAATTAAAGTTTATAATACAAACTAAATTAAAGCAGCCATAAACAATAATTGTAAAAGTATGAAAATAATTATAATATTAATAATAAGGTTAATTAGAATTGAAATGTATTGGAAATTCACAATATTTAGTGAGATCGCGTTGCGTTGAGACGCGTCGTTGTCGTGAGTGAGGCGTGCGCCGCACTCGTCACGCGCCCGTGGCGCTGCACGAGCGGGCAGGGACGGACTGGGGACATCAACATGTATGTAAAAAGTAAGTATTGCAATAATTCAGTAATATATGTATATATATGCAATGGTTTTGGCTTTACATGACGTATGTATTTAAAATATCTGGAAATCGAACACTGTAAAGAGATGTCACTACAAATAGTTGATTATATTTTTGTTTGGAAACAGTGATTTCATAATAATATCTCATGTTGCATCATAATGTATAAACATAAGTACCTATCAATAGTTGTTATTAGAAATGTGCTTGTTAATTATATTATTTATTTCTTAATATGTCTAAGTACGTCCCTGTGTTTCGCTCGCCACAGGCGATAGTTTTCCCACGCTCGCGGACGGCCAAGTATAACCCTGCCATTTGCATGTCCGCCCCCCACTGCCTACCGTATTACCCGACCGAGTTACGATGCGTACAACACCAAGCTTTGCATTCACAATTCATTTCATACTTAATTCGGTCGGGTTCTATCAGCCAATTCATTAGGTACTTTAGCTCTGACAGCGGAGCTACTTAAGAGGCGGATAGTTATCCCAATTATTCGCGATTGTGTTAAAATAAGTACAACGCTTAGATTATACTTAGTGTAAGTATAATATATTAGATGTAATTTTAGCTAAATTCCCGCGATGATAGGTATAATACGACAAATTGCGTCGCGCGTAATAAAGACGTTTAACAAAAAGATGCTCGAACGGCAACGGAGAAACAAAAAAATGATCATAAATATCAAGATTATAATTTACCCGTGCCACGTTTATCTTTAACATAAAATGTATTAATTCTTTGTATTTATGTTTCCGATGTTGGCTGTTTGCTTGTGAATCGTGTGTTATAAATTAAAAAAAAACATGAATTTTACAACTCCATACATTAATGTTTAAAGACGGAATATGTCGAGTGTTTCTGGAAGTTAATCTTCGTCACATTATTTATGGCTTAAACTATGCAAAATGGACGCTCGTTATTTTTATTGACGATTAATAAATAATTCATTAATAGATTACGGAAACCTGTTTGATATTCGTTTGGTTTTTGTAAATCCTACTTACGTAACATTAATGGCTGTTTGATTGAAGACAGATTTTAATAGAATACTTTAAGATTTCGTGTTATAATAAATGTAATGGTAGCTATTACTATTTAGTGGAGCATTTATTTGCGATTTTATTGAGAAAACTGATGTTCAACCGTTCCCACGGCCAAGTTTCCGGCCGAAGCGAATTTTGACAGATAACCACAGACTAAATGCGACGGTACAGATAACACGCTCAATGATAATATATATATTTAATTAAATATATAAAAAAAGATTATATACATCTGTTTCATATTATGATTCATCATGAAAATCCCGTTTAATAGATAAAGGGAGAAAATGAAGTAATAATTGAGATACAATTTTTACAACGTTTTTACTTTACTTTTCTATATAATAAAATAGTAATTTTTTTAACTAAGATATCTCTCTCTTAGAATTTAAAAATCTCTCTGCATTTCTTACTAAGTGAAATGTCTTTGCTTGTATAAAATCATACAACAAATATATTAAAAATGAAAACAGCCTAAATTCCATTATAAAGGTTTTAAACCTTTCCCTTCCACTCAAATTCATAACACATATAATATTAATATCATTATGTATGTTAGTTCAATATTTATTTATAAATAAAATAACCTCCATATTTTTATTAGTTTTTATTTGTGTCCGTACGTTTTGTATAATCTACAATTACTGTAAACTTTTCTGCGGACGCTCTCATCACCAGAATGACCATCAATTAACTGCACGGGCGCCGTTCACAAACTAGTTCTGTAAAATATACCGATACAAACGTTTCTTAATGCATGCTTTTATTTTGTAAAACATACCCATAATTATTGTACCATTTCTTTTGTGTCCATTATAATTTATTAATAGTTACGTGAAAGATGTTATTGTTCTTATAATCTGTGGATGGATATTAATTTGGAAGTTTAATGACATTTGACGTTTCTATATGACTTTAAAGATTGACAGCTTTTTTTTTTTTGTTGAATATTATAATGACGTCAATGTTAATATAATGCCAATATCAACACGCCTGTTATCTCATAAAATTCGATATCTCAAACAAATCTTAATGTATACAGATGTAGAGTCGTTTTATTAAATATTTATAAGGATTAAAAGTTTTATTTAAAAATTACCAGTTATACAGCCTTGGAATATATCTTCTTAAAATCTTTTGATCTCTGTATAGATAATATTCTAATTATATTTATGTTAGTTATAAAATACTGGAAATCAATAATGATGTTTTTTTTATTACTATTGTCCCACGGATTCGTTCGAAAATCCCGTTATATTTTTTTGAAAACCTTATATTTTTTTCTGGTTCTTATCTCAAGAATTCTGTGTTCGGTTAAAATCATTTATCGCAAACTTTTACTGTTAGATTTTTTTATTTAAATTCTGATTTTTTGTTCTTGAAAACAGAATAGTCCTTTCATAAAACTTTATCCATAAACCCACGCTATATACTTATCCATTAATAGTTTCCGTAAAAAAGATTACGGCAAATGGAAAAAACACGAATTAATTTATAGAAAAGGCGATTCATATAATCACAAACAGGCTATAAATTTATTAATACTTAAACATATATTTAGATTAATATTTTGAATATTTATATTATATTAGCTTTCCGCTCGCAGCTTCGCCGCGTGGAGTTCGGTTATATCGCGTTTCCAAGAGAACCTTTCAAAAGTCTGGGATAAAAACTATCCTATGTTCTTTCTCAAGGTCAACTCTATCTCTGTACCGAATTTCATTAAAATCAGTTCAGTGGTTTAGGCGTGAAAGCGTAGCAGACAGACAGACAGACAGACAGACAGAGTTACTTTCGCATTTATAATATTAAGTAGGGATAATTTGTATATTAATTTTAGATTTTATTACACCGTTTTTAAGAATTTATTAATAAGATTATAATTATTATTGTGGTCTATTTATACACTATACCTTCTAGAATCAAAATCATTCGGCCGACTTAATTTAAATTGTATAGTAAAAAAATATTTTGTTGCTGATTTAAACACAATAAATAAATAATAATTGAACCTTTTTGTAAGTTTAATTATCATAGAATTAATATATCTAGGTAGTAAAATATTATTATAAAAGAAAGATATTTTTTTTTTCTCATACAATCTCTTTTTATATTAAAAAACATATTAGGTATAGATATAATACTATATCTCCTGCTGTTATTATATTAAATGGCATAATGCTTTGGTTGTCTTAATAGATATTTGCACAATTTATTATTTTTTTAATTCTAACATATTAAAACTTTTTTCACCATAGTCAGAACATCGTAAGTCCAATGTCCGTGATTAAAAAAAACATTAACATTAATCCTATCCTTCCTTATCAATTAAATAAAACAAATTCTTTTACACGTGCTGGCAGATTGTGAGTTATTAATTATACATATATGGCTTTAAAGATACATAATAAAAAGGTTAAACTTAACTATGACGTGAGCGGGGATTTAAATAAATCAGCGATTTATAAAAATTATAATAAATTATGTAGCTTTAAAAATTTCACAGCTCTTTAAAAGTTTTATTGATTTTTAAGGACCGTATGATTCAATAGAAGCATTTATTTTACACTTATACATAGAAGTTTCTTCATGTAGGTATGTAAGTTAATATTTATAATATTTTCAATATAAAATACATAATAAATATTAAACTTTATATTCAGTTAATAGATATATAATCATTAATATTAATAATGCATAGATTTTATAAGTGATTGTGAGAATCCGCTGTCTTGTGTTTCTCACGCTTAGACAAAAAAAAATGACGCCCACACTGACGCTACTAATTATAAGACGGGTATATGCACGTGCCTTACAGACGTAGAATATATAAAATAAATAATATATATAATTTAAAAAAGTTTTTATATCAAATTCAATATTCACAGATAATGTTTACAACAGTGACAGATAAAAAAAAATAAAAACTGTCATATATAATAACGATGTATAAATATTATTTAAAAAATGTGATTTAGTGATCAATTAAAAACATATTCATAAATAAATATATAATGTTTATGAATTTGACAAATAAATAAATTTATATTTATTTGCCGACATCTGATAAAATATGGAAATGTCTTAAATAATTTTGTTATCTGTAATTTTAAAATAATTATGCTGAATTATATATAAATATTAATATTAAATTCTTCATGTTGCCACAAGAAACAGTTTAGAAATCAATAGTATTAGTTTTCAAAATACTGTGATTACTGTGTAAAATATAATAAATTATCTATAGAATAATAATAAGTATTTTAATTAAATTATTGTAATAATTCTAATACAATTTAACAATCAAAAAAATAACATATTTTTTATTAAATGCTTTTTTTCTTACATTACATTGTTTTAATAATTGCACCAAAGACTATGATAATAAACATTTTAAAAATAGTATGTATAAACGAAACGCAGCCGTTGTATTTAAATAATTACTGGCTGCAAAAAAAAAACTCTTCTAGCTTTCATAAATGAAGTTCATTGTGACGTTTACGTCATTGTTTTGTCTAACTTGTGGACAATCGTTTGATAACCTTATATAAGTATTATAGACGAAGTAATATTTATATATATTTAATATTTATCTCTAGAAGACTTGTCGTTTTGTTATAGATAATTAAAAGAGTTCCATTTTCAAATTTAACTTTCTTCACAGCCAGTGCCGAGGTTATAATTATATGGTTTTAAACCGTAATTTTATGACGAGGGTCCTAACTTTTGGAATGACAAAGACAAACTATTAAGGAATTCAAAAAGCGACCCCCGCTAAATGTTACCTGAGGAGAAAAAGTTGCCGGCGATTTAACTTGTGTCCCATTTTTGGGTTCGTTCATTTATTGCCGGATTCATTCTTTTTATGTCTTTAAGAAACACACCGCCAAAGAATCGGTAATAATCCTTGGCAAAAAAAAATATGTAGATGTAAATTGAATTACAGTTATCGTGTTTGTTTCAACCGTACCGTACTTATTGTGTAATTAGTTTGTATAAGGTATTCTTTTTCACTCATAATTAACGGTTCCGTTTGGAAATTAAGAACAATAAGTTATAAAGCTATACAACCACGTGCTTAACTTTAGTGGGTCATTTGTAAGAATTACAAAGTAATTTTGTGAACATATTTTGTAAAAAAAAAGTACCTATACAACCCATACATTTTCGATAAATAATTTAACAGAAACATTCGATTAAAATTTTTAAACTGCAATTGAATGGTATCGAATCATGTATCATACATTATTTATGACCGTTTAAAAATATTTGTGGATATTAATAAAAAACACTTCGCAATCAATCTCTGTTAATATGTATGCGTAAACTTAATTATGTTAATAATTATCCCGCTCGGGTGAGTGTTTGTTGCTCGTGTAAGATGATACAGAGGCCACACGTGCTCCCGCCATGAATGGGAAGGGAAGGATCGGGAGGGCGAGGGGGACGCGGGACGGGGGTGGGGGGGGGGGAAGGGGGAAAGGGAACGGGATCGAAGGCTTTTTTCAGGCAGTACGATCCGAACCACGGGCGGAGACGCACGTGCGGCCTCAATATTAATATCTGCCATAAATACCGCGAAGTTTTGAAGGTTAGATTTTCGTCCTTTGTTCATTATCTATTGTGTTGAGTTTAAAGTTTATGAAGTTCAAGCGTCATTAATTTGTTGTTATTGGCAGGTCGATGATGTCGGACCCGGCGCCGCTGTCCAAAACAGCCAAATACAAGAAGATAACTAAACCTTTACTGGAGAGGAAACGAAGGGCGCGCATCAATAGATGTCTGGACGAATTAAAGGACTTGATGGTCGGAGCGTTGGAGGTACGTAGATAACACAAGTTTTTAACTAAATTATATAATTAAATTACATAAAAACATAGTTTTTATATCCAATATTTCACTTGGCATTGCTTTTTGTATAAATGTCCCATAAAGGCCGTCACGATCGATGGCTAGACGACGCCGCAAAAAAATTTGGCACAAAACGAGAATTGAGGAGATAAGGCTATTGTTAGGATTTCAATACATTATACAATACGGAAGAAATTGTTAGAAATTCCACAGCTTATAATACGTATGTTACAAATTTATGTTCACCTGGTAGAATTACGTTCAAAGATATAATGATTAAAATTTAAAAGTAATCAATTATTATGTTTAAAAGTGTAAAATTTACTTATGACAGTCATGAAAGGCCAATTCATCTTGACTTACGCGTTTCGTTTATTCAAAGCGGTTGTTTTCTACTGACTTATTTATTAAGCCAGTCCGCCTCAAACTGGAATACAATACTATATGCTCGTTAATTAACAGTAGCTGATGGTACAGTTATGTTTGTGTCGTGCCCAGCACCTGGTAGTAATCTATATTTCTTTTTGTTCAGATTGATGACGACAACTTGAGCAAGCTGGAGAAGGCTGATATCCTTGAACTAACAGTGAACCACCTCACGAAGCTACACAGACCCAAGGATCCCGTTATGGAAGCTAAGAAGTTTCAAGCCGGCTTCGGACAGTGCGCGGCTGAAGCTTGCAGATTTATTATGTCCGTACCGGATTTAGACTCGAAAGTCAGTCAAAATCTAGTTGGACATTTATCAAGACTAATCACATCTCAACCGCTGACGATACAAGTACCGGAGAGATCTTCATTCTCTCCGCCTACATCACCATCGTCTGTTCTCTCCGATAGACATCACTATTACAGCGACCACGAGAAATCATCTTCAGACGCTGAAGACTCTGTATACTCGGGAGACAGCGCCACAAAACAATGGACTTACAAACCAATTAATAAACAAAGTCTACCAGTCACAGGATTGCTCACCACAGTAGATAAACTATCGCCACACAACTCAGAACACACATTCAATGGCCATCGGAACGGAACTTACTTTAACAAAGTCCCGGCTGAAGCGAAAGATGTTATCTTACAGAAGATAAGACAACACATTATGGACAAACGCGGGAACGAATATCATGTGGATCTCAATGCTAATGCTGACATCCCTAACGAAAATAGATACATTCGTGAGGAAGTGTACAGGAATGAAGCACAACACTATCCAATACATTACTCTAACAACGACACATTGGATCTAAGGAAAGTAAGATCACCAGCACGACAAGAAAAATCAAATTCTCCACAAGAATCAATCTATCCAAAAACAGAATCTGAACATTCGGATAAAATACAATCTTCAATCAGTGTCCCAGATTGCGAATCTCCGATGGACTATAGTAACCTGCCGCCTAAGAAGAAGAGGAAATTGATCGAGTACCAGGAGTACATGAAGCAGGAGGAGGCTAAGAGACAGAACGCTTACTATGAGGACAAGGAACGAAGATATGGAGCGCCTTCAGACAACGAGACCGACGGTAACAAGTGGCGACCTTGGTGATTGAGAATTACTATAGAATCTTATATACAAGATATCTTATAAAGCGGTCTTTACGAAAAGTCGATGTGATATTATTACTTCCACGTCAAAGCTTTAATTTGTTTTAACTCGTTTTATATTAGAACTAACGTGCCTTATTTAAGTTTAATGTTAAGTTTTCAATCGATGTGCGGTTTAATGTGCCATGAACTGATCTCTGTCTTCCTTGAATAAACGAAATAATTTTTGTATCTTTATAATAAAATGAATCGTCTGTTAATATTAAGTTTTGAAACCGTTTTAAGGATTTGTACAAATATTATATTGTGTGATATATATTCATTATTATAAATAATAAATTTATATTTGCTAATTTTGTTGATTTCATTCTAACAAACTACTTATCTTCTTAATATCATAACATGAGAAAATATATTTTTTTTAAAAGAATCGATTGTCACATTAGATATTATTTGATTTCGTCGTCCCTAAGTTTAAAAAATTAAAAATAAAAAGTTCACTTTTACTCTTAAAAAATATTGTATTAACGGTGAAGCGATAATTTATTTATTTTTGATTGCTTGTATTTCAAACATCCACCTACTCAACCCTATAAAAAGTTAGTAAACTCAACCTTCACATCATTGACAATGTCTTTCTATATAATTAGTTACTACTAGTGCCATCTATATTTTGAGCATATGTAACAATTGGATGAAGTAACCAACGACATCTAGTGAAAGCAAAAGTAAATACTTTGTGTAACTGAATGCAAGTTTCCGAATCATAAACTTCAAACAATGCCATCTATTAGACTATTGTTAGTTTTGGAAAGCGACATCTATGGGCATTTTATAAATTTACTTACAAAAACAGCTTGATACGGAGTAACTTAATGTACCGCGTTTACTAAATTAGCATTAGAATTATATTAATTATCTTAATCGTTTTTTTAATATTTTGATTGACATTTTTTATCCTTTATAATTCTTATTTATTTATAGCTTCTATTATTACAAGTTGCAAATTTTACATATTAAGAAAAAAATATCAAGTTAGTTTTAAAAACTAAATCTTGTCTTCTACTGACTAATAGATGGCGCTGTCATATTAAATACGTGACAGTGATTAATACCTCGTACACTCGCTTCTACAACGAGAGTGGGGCGTGGCGTGAAGGCATCACAATTCAGGAGTTCATTCATTCAAAAACAAGTCGGCTTTCGGACCAGTTGATTGAAGCGAACAAGGCAAAATGCGTTACGCGCGAAATATAACGAACTCTTTCGAAATTTAAAAAGCGAACTGACAGTTGACTTTGTCAAATATTTTTCTATGATATCAAGATTGTTGTGCATTTGTGATGTTTTAGTGTTAAGTGGAGTGTTTTTTATTCAAATGTTGTGTTGACGGGCGATGCTTGTGGGGGAGCAGTCGCCGGCACCGCGGGTGGTGGCCGGCTTGCGAAAACTACGACCTGAACTGACTCCAGGGCCTGTTATAACGCCCGCTGACCCTAATCTAAGAATATCAGGTCAGTTTAAGACAATACAATTTATACTTTGACGAATTACTAAAGGCTTCGCGATTATTCAATAGGTTTAAATCGTCATAATTAAAAAATAATGTATTCCAATTAAATAACAAAGTTAAATTTAGCATATGTATATAGATTATCGTATTATTTCGTTTATAAATTAGGTCAACGGGTTGAACCTGCAACGTCAGTGGGTCGATAACCTCTCGATACATGTAGTCTGTATATTATTTATTAACGTTATATAATTAACCTATTTTAATGAAATCTTTTGATAATACATATGTTTGTAAATATTAATAACGTGGCGTGTAGACTATTATTATTTAAATCGAATGCAAATACTTTATCGGTATCACGTACGTCAATATAAGGGTATTTGTAATTTTTATTCATAGTTAATTGTCATAATGTATCCATATGTATGTACTATGTAGTACTGACAGTGGTGGGATTGTCATTTATGGAACATCTGCTGGTATTGGAGCGGAAAGGAAGTCAACATCTGGCTTTTGTGAGTTCATTGTTTTATTGGACATATAACTATTTGAATTTAACTGCGGATAAATGAAATTAATTTTTTTTGATGACGGAAGAAAGCTTTTTTTAATGTTTCGACTGTTTTGTCAAACTTATCAAATGTGTACAATACATTCTGCCAATGTTAATTTAATTAAAGGAGGTTCGTGATATGTTACCTTTTTGCTAGACTGTCTCTCATTGAGTTATTCATATCGCTAATGTTTACTGTTTTATCAGTGTAACAATTGCTTTGTCTGGTGACCTTTTGACATTATCATAAGGAAGTATATATATATTTATCTGAAAAATATCTCATAATTACTCATTATATTTTCGCAAATGCGAGATTATTTAACGATATTATTTAATAAAGTTATATATTTTTTTCTCCATATTAATTTCGATCTACCGTCAACATTCACTTGTTTTTAGTTTTCGAATATTTTCGAGTACTTTTATATAGTTTCATTATTAATTTTAGTAGTAATATGGCATGTCTTCACATAACAGGGAAATCCTTTGTGCAACCTTCCAATGTGTATCTGAGTGACACAAGGTTTTAACTCGAATATAATATTTTTATAGCTTTGGCATTCAAATTATGCGCCGTAACACGTTGTATTATTTCGGTTAAAAGAAACTATGTCTTAATGATTATATTTTTTATCCTTATTACACATATAAACCTTGCCAGTTTATAATAATTGCAATAATATTCTCCTTCTTGTACTATTTATTTCAGTTTCATGACTTCAAATTATCAAATGGTAAATAGGAACTTAATTATTGTAATTACGGTAACCTTATTTTTGAACGGGGTTTAAGTTTGCATGTTACTGAAATACGTTAAATTTCTGAACGCTCGATAAATGTCAAATGCGTTCGAAATTCAAATCTGTTCGCATGTTATTCGTTCATTGATATTTATTCGGATTGTTTTATTACAATTCAAGGTTTTGTTCTGTGTGTGTGTTACGTAACATTTGTTTTGTTTACGTAAATAATATTTTATTTAATTACGTATAATATTACTTGATGGTAATTATGAGGTTTACTTTTGTGTTAATTTTTAAATTATTTAAATCGCTCCTCAAAATTCAATTAAGATAATTTAAGTAATAAAGTTTATTAAATTTAATAGATTTTAATATATTTGATTTTTAATTATAATATTGTTAGTTACTCTTATTATAAACAATGATTTTCACGTAACTTTCCTTGACATTCAGTACCAATAATGTAAACTGGAGTCACTATCCTACATTTAATGAAATTAAGCTATAAAACGACCTTTTTATAGGAAGCCATCTATATAAAAAACCAAAGAATATTGTAAAATATTTGTATTATGTATGTAGGAAAGCAATAAATTGTCAAAGCGATAATTTTCTTGTATAATACGATATAATATTATGAATATTAAATTAATAAAAAAATACATTCTCTTCATTTAAAGTGGATCCCTATAAAACTCATTTGTCTTCTTCCCTATACGATAAACATAATATTTATATTTCAACTAAATATAACTAAACTGTGCAAATGATAGTATCTATGTAAATATATGAACGATAACTTGAATACTTTCCGTATTTAGTTTTACGTATAAACTCGTGCTAAGGATACCGTTCCACTTCACCCGCATTTCCTCATTATATCTTTCGTTCATCTTCGGACTTATCTCAAGATCTATCCCTCATGTAATTTATAATGTCATTGATATATTTATATAGTCGGATATAGTGCAAATCCGCGTAACTATGTATCATTGCATTAATCCGCGTATCTGTCCGAAGCAGATTGATAGAAGGTTTAAGATGTAATATTTTCTAAATTAACGACTTTTAAATTTTAATTTCTTTTACAATTGATAATTATTTAGCGTCGAATTTATTAGTAATTGTAAAAAATTATCTTAAAAGTCGTTAATTTAGAAAATATTTCAGCTTAAACTTTCTAACAATCTGCTTCGTTCAGATACGCGGAATTATCGTATGTTAGTTACGCGGATTTGCACTATCCCCGACGATATATGTAGAGTCTTAATATTTTTTTCATGCTATAATATTGGTCACCAGGTGTCCTTCGTCAGTATTACAATGAGGACGTCCACTCGTGGTCGTGGGTCCGCGTGGCCGTCCGTGGCGGGTGTTTGCTCGCGTGGCGTGACGGCACATTGCCGCGCCGAGCTGCTGCAAGCTTACCACTGCGGCACCTGCACCTTCGAGCTGCTGCAACACTCCCTAATGCCTTCCAGCTGTCCAGATTGCGTGATGACTCAGCAGTTGCCACGTTTCAGGTAATTATATATAGTTTAAATTTTAAATGAGAATAATATTTTTCGGACTATATTTTTGTAAAAAACTACATATTCCAGACTTTTCGGCTGCTTTACAGCAACCGTGATCACGGTCATACGAGATGTACAATAATAAAGTCGCTTAGTATATCTGAAAAATATTAGTTTCATTTAAATGAATTAAACTAGCGAAAATCTTAGATCTCATTATAGTTTAGGGTTCAGACTTTTGCTATGCAAGTTGATATTTCAAACGCTTTTAGACTATAATATAAACAGATTAACTTGAGATAATTATAAAGCGGTAAAATTTTATAGCACTAAGAAAAAGTATAAAAAGCTGTAAATTTTTTATATATCAACAAAATATTAATATATAATAAGTGAGAGGAAAGCATCTTATCTAATGCTATACTCTATAGGACTTATACATATATTATTAAATTCTCTTAATATATTTAACCGCACTCATAGTAACAATACTGTCAGCGGTTTAAACAAAATCTTCAAATTATTATAAATAAGCAATTAAATAGTCGCCTGTACTTATATTGACTTTTAATTTTCAGTCATAAAAAGTTATTTATCTATCACGTCACAAGTATAAAATCAGTCACTTACGTGCAACGGAATTATCAATAAATATATATATGATTGTATTCAAGAAAGTAATTACGTCACAGTAATAAATATACTTCTATGACGTCATCAAGTAATGTGTAGTGAAAAATTTTCATTTTACATTGACATCTCGTCTTAGTGATCACGGTTGCTGTAAAGTAACCGAAACGTCGGGAGTATATAGTTTTTACAATAATAAAATACGCACAGTATAATCCTAATAATATTAGTTTCATTTATATATTTTTTGAGATTTTTCACGTAATTTATGTTTTGTTTGAATTTGTTCAGTTCTTAGTATGAGTGCAATGTCACTGGTTAGGTAGAGTTTAGATTATTTTTTGAGTAAATTAAATGATATCGTATTGATTTATATATGAAATAATTTAAGGATTTTCTGAGTTTTTTTCGATTTTAAATCCCTGTACTAAGGCTATAAATTTTAACGAAAAAATACCAACGTACTTCAACGTATGTCAAATAATTATGAAGTGGAGTAATAACACTTTAATAAATCTATTTTTCTTAAATATATTCACACATTTATATTATTCAGAGAAAGTCAAGCGAATAAATGACTTAATTAGTGGAATTAATCCAAATTATATTATGAATATTGTTTATAATGATACATACATTTATATGTAATGATTTTAATAGTTTTTGAAAACTAAATACCTATAAGTAAGCGAATAAAAATATTTTGTTTTGTTTTATAAGTAAATAGGTTAGTATGCAATCAGCCTTATTTTTAGTAATTAATTAATGCTCTATTTCCTAAATAGGTAACATTTTAAAAACTATGGTTACTATAAACTATACTACCAGTTGAAATCTTTAACTACTTTTTATTATTCCAATGAAAATGTTATAACTGTTGGTATTGAACACGAACTAAGATCACAAGTAATATTATTAATGAATAATGATTTCTATACAATATAACGTTGCCTTTCAAATATTTCAAATATTCAAGTAACGATCTATTAGTAGGAGGCATGAACCCGTTCACTACTGACTCAAGTGAGGCTGGAACGTTTAACATACATAATTATATCATTACTATGTGATGCGTTATATAATTGGCTTAATACACACACACACACACACACACACACACGCACACACAAAATTATCCATAATATAACATAAGTTGAAATATAAGATCGTAAATTAAGAATGTGTTTACCTTTACAAGAATTTAAACGGTAACCGCGACTGTCCTTGGTGTGAGTTTACTATTGCAATTTATTTAATAAACTCTTAGTCCTAGTATTAAAATCACTATATACGACGCGTTTTAAGTTTCGACCTTAATATCTCACGTTAATGCTATAGTTTGTGAATGAACAACTGTTTAGTTTTTATGTGTATCGTGACGATGCTAACTTGTACTTAGGTACAGCACACGTGTGTACAGTCATCATTTGCCGAGCTTAATACAATTATAACAAACATAGGAATGTCAATACATTTATACATAAATTTAATTATACTATACATAAATACACTGATTTATAATTATGCTATACGCAATTTTTACACGTATAAATGTAGGTAACATTTTTTGCAATAACCAAGTGCTATAACCTTGGAGTAATAAGATCGCGTTCAGTTGCGAATTATTTATGAAAGCATTGTTCAGTGTCCATATATAATGTTTTATTATGATTCTGTAGCTAATGGGATTGACTTGTTAATAATTATCACTGATAAGCCGATAAGTAATAAACAAAATGCCGATATTTGCATCACGACATGCGAATACACGACGTATTTTTTTCCACAACATAATGAAACGCTAATTGATTTGTCGCACATATAACGTACTTGAATATTTTTTATATGAATTATTTGTTAGGAAATTTTAAGTGCAAAGAATAGAACCGTCTTGCGAGATGTTCGGCTCCCCTCCGGAACACCTTTCTCACGACCCGCTCGGTTTAATAGACCTCAATAAAGCTCAACGCCCGTAAATCATTGCCTGTTTGTTATCCACAAGCTTTTGATGCTACTGTTTAACATACGAAGGGATAGAAAGCGAAGGTGTCGACATCACAACAAACACGTTATGACAAGGGAAAAACCTTGATACAAGCTTAAATAGATCAAACTAGTTCTCCAAAATCGGGACCCCTTCAAGCATCCAAACTATGATCCCATTATGGATATTCAAATTGCAATTTCGTTACTATTCAGTTCGGTTTAACGATTGAGTCATAAATTCGCTGTCACATTTATTACCATAATAATATCTGTAATGTTTGTTGCAGGCTTGCAATGCGACGGAATACGCCCGCTGGGTACGCGCCCTCTGCGTCGAAATACTTGGACAGACGCCGCTGCCGCAAGTTAGATTTCTGGACGTACTGCCCGCAGCGGACACGAATAATAAGGAACCAAAGAAAATAACACTACAGGAGACGATGTGTCCTCCCAGACCTCCTCCTAGAGCTAGACGGAGATTGCTAACCGCGTCAGAGACTCAGCTGTCTAGAAGGGACCACTCGCCCGCTGCAACCGACGAAGGCATAGTCGTAGACCATGACGACTGCGACTCTTCGTCCGACCGCAGCCTCGACCTGTCCTTATCTCTGGACACGCTGAAGACCATCGACGTGGTGGACGCTCCTATAAGGAAAGCAGAGGTCGTTAAATGTGACAATTGCTGTAAACTAACCGCGAGCCCTCCACAGCATCACACGTTACCCCGAGCGAGAACATCAGACACTGAACTCGGACGACACAGGTACTTGAAACGCTGGGAGGGAACTACCGCTGGTGCTGAGAGAGGACGGTTCGTTATAGAAGCAGCGAGAAGAAAGACTGCCGCCTTAGAGAACAGAGCTAGATCATGTTCACCGAATGCTCATGAAGTATCACAGTACGTGCCCGTGCGTGAGAGGCGAGCGCTGTTCGAATCATTATCACAGAGCGGTGGCAGCTTAGCTCGTAGTAGTGAACAGCTGGCTCGGCCGGTCATGGAGACTCCAAGACGGGCGGCGTCCTTGCACGACCTACAAGCGCCACCTACACGTTCTGTTAGCGATCTACGTCAGTTCTTCGAAGCTGTGGCTCGAGGAGTCGGAGCCTGCTCGGGGTTGTACAGCCCTAACCCCGTCCCGCGCTACACCTCGCTAGCCTGCGCATGACTTGTACATATATTGTAGATAGGACTCACGGCGTCGACCGCCGGTCTAAGTCGTTCGTTTTAAGACTGTTAAAAGTATTGTTATTAAATACCTAATATAAATAAAACACATTAACTAATAGCTATTGGTTTTTCTGTTCCTTATATCACTTGGAAGAATAATATCCGACTTTCATTGGTCGTTGGAGGCGATATATTTTAGTAGACAAGTATAATTTCTAAAGCGTCGAAACTATAACCTATTGTTTCTTACTGTAACGACGATCCTAATAGCATTTTGACAATGCTAGTCTGAAATGTCACTGAATGGCACAGCGCGTCTCAAAGGTCGTTCTCTAGTCCTTCACACGATCTCACATTGTGTTGAAATACATTGCAAAACATTTGTCAGACACGTTTTGCTATTGTTATTAATTTTTTTCTAAACGTACAATGAATGGCTAGTAAAACAAAACTTGCATTTCGTTTGAAAGTTAATATTCCACGCCTACTTTGCGCTCCAAAAGGGGAGACATCGTAGAGTGACGTCATGTGATATTTTTCTTGAGTAATAAACCTACGTGACCCTATTTAATAATTTATTGCGACCGATACATATTAAGAGCATATTGTACAGGGGTAATAAAATGCACATCCTTTATCGGTTTTATTTTTTTAACCTGAATAAGTGACGGATATCCGTGGATGCAGTGTTATTGAAAATCTTTACTAAAATCTCATGGCAATAAAGCAAATGGCTCTACTAATTTAAACTGTGGCAACGAGTTTATATGTGACAGTTAATATTACTCTACTGAATTATATATTCTGTGTCGACTCGGCAAATAGAGCGGCTCAATTAAAATATAATTTAAATACCAAACGTTCTTCATTGAACTACGTCCATATAATTTTATTAATGTGAGAAATTTATCTCAACTAATTACAGATGAAAAAATAATTTAAATAAAAAGAGAATACAGATAATATAGACTATAGTTAAATGCATACTGCTTGAAGCAATTTGTTTTTAGTTCGTCAAACAATGACCGCTTGAGCCTTGGAGTGGCCGTGGTAACGCTTGCCATTTAAACGTGAATGAGGTTTGAGCCCTGGCTTTAATATATTTGTACGTTCTATACAGTTATTTAATACAGTAATTGAATTTTATTCGTGACTTTGGCTGTATATACTGTGCACATTTTTTCACGGCTGTATGCCGAAAATCAGTGACAGATTAAAACCTTTTTCTCATTGTGTATGCTTGACAAACCTACTTCATTCTCACATGTATTTCAAAACAAACAGTTCAAATGTTAAACTGTTGTAATTGCACGTTTAATTGAGCGCAGCGTCTTTAAAACATGTTTACGTAAACTAATTGATGTATAGTTATTTGTGTAATGATGTTATTTCAAACATTTCAACTTATTTAGAACTATTTTAATTGAAATACGAACATACTGATATATAAATATTAAACTTTAAAATCGATTTTTAAATCGAGACCCATTTGTTAGTATAGCATGAAAATAAAACACAGATAATAAAAGTAATCCATCAAATATAAAGAATGAATTTACTCCATTCATTTTGAATCTGTTATGTAAGGATCTAATGTTAGTAAATTAGCAGCAGGAATGCGGCCGTATCGAATGATGGTAACCGCACAAAAATCATATTTATAAAAAATCATAAGAAAAGGAGATAGAAAAAGTACAAAGGGTGCCGGGGGATGGCACAGGTAGCCGAATTGGATCCTGTGTTGATATAAAGACAGATATAATGTACAATAGATGCTATGTAACTGTAGATAATAAATAGAACTTGAAAGAATTGTTTTAATCGATTTTTAAATTAATCGATTAAAATGTCAATCGATTTAAACCCAAATTAATTTATTATCTGTTTTTGACAATAAGTAGATCTTATCTGTTTTGCATTCATTATATGATGATTTTTGTTACATTGTATCAACGATTTCTTAGTTAAATCAGATGAAACTTAACTGTTAATTTATTAAGTTTTAAATATCTTAATCGTAATAACATTTATAGATAAAGTTACAGTGGCAAAACCTGATGTAAATGATTATCAAATATTACACTCAAGTGACATTTACGCAATCCATTAATAAACAATAAAACTATATAAAGTAAATTAAATGTTAAATGACTCATATTTTAGAGACGGGGATAGTTTTTTTCACTTATTATTCAAGGTCACTTAGTTCTTAAAATGCGTTTTATCTAAGTGTAACACAAAACAAATTAAAATATTTACAAAAGAAACTTATACGTTATTCACTTTGAGTGTATTTCGTTGTCCTTATAACAAGAATATATTAAAAATTAAATATTTGTATGAAAGATATTTCACACGATTTAATCGTTTATGATAATAAAGGAAACCTAGACTTTGATTTCAATCTGTCGTTTCCTGTCGATTGTCGAAAGATAACTGCAAGGGACTACCACCATTACACCCGTATAACTAAATAATAGTAGAAATTAATAAAGTTTTTTATACTATCAAAATATAGAATGTAATTACATTTGCTGATATAAAATTCATTTATTTATTCGTAAAATATATATTAAACAATGATACCAATTTGTTTGAGGAAATTTACGAGTAATTTTGAGTATTGCCTGTGAAGTTGAGTATTGAAATAAGAATACATTTACGTAAAATTCAAAATACTAATACGTACAATTTTAAAGTGTACTTATAATTAATTTTTGTTACCCTATCATTCTGTTCGATACAAAAACAAAACAGAAAGTCGAGATCGTTGATAGCTTGTGGAACTTTTAAACAAACAATAGAAATGGAAAGTTAAAACAACTGTATCAAGTTATCAGATAAATGAACACAATTAGCTTATAGTAAAGATTTGTATTTAATATTTATTTATAATTAAATTTATCATAGAAAAGATAGATAAATAGAATTTTGTTTAAATTCATTTAGAGATAATGGACGTTATATCGATATCCCTACTACATATTATTATAAATGCGAAAGTAACTCTGTCTGTCTGTCTGTTACGCTTTCACGCCTAAACCACTGAACTGATCTTAATGAAATTTGGTACAGAGATAGAGTTGACCTCGAGAAAGAACATAGGATAGTCTTTATCCAATACTTTTGAAAATTTCTCTTGGAAACGCGATATAACCGAACTCAGCGCGGGCGAAGCTGCGTGCGGAAGCTAGTATATGTATATGTTTGAAATTATCAATGAAAAATATATTTCATGATCCAGTTACTGTGTATGGAAAAAGGCACATTTTTGAGGTTTTCGTACGGTTTCACTTTAGCATAATAAATAGGTAATTTCTCTAGATATGTTATAAATTTTGATAAGTTTCTTAAATTAAATAAGATAATTTGAGTGGTTCCAGTGCGAATAAAGTCATAGCTTAAAAAAAGATGAAAGCTCGTTTTTCAAATACATGATGGTCACTACTGTTGCTTAATATTTAACATGTTTATACATATTACAGTCTTTTTTTGTTGTTTAATATATATATTTTTATATCTAATACCTTCAATGAACCTTTTATAAGAAATTATATAAATTTTGTTCAACGATAATTTAAATAAGTAGTTTTTTGTGGTTAAAGAGAGGGGATAGAGTTAAAAAATAGATTTAGTTCAGTTAATTTATACTATTTGTAGAGATGGTATTATTCATACACCGTTAAAACTACTGAACATAATTTATAGAAACACTTTCTGAGTTTATGTATCAGAATGATACAGAATTGATTCTTATATAGTTAAAGACTTAAAAAGAACATTAAAACTTATTATTAGGTACTAATGCACATATTACATGTAATATTTTGAAAGTAATATCCCCGCCTGTATTTACATTGTATCTAAGTGTTATTTAAATGAACCGGATTTGACAAAGTAACGAACTATAATTCAGCATCTGAACTAGAAATGTAATAATTGCTATCCATAATTAGAGAAAGCAAAATTAATAAGGCTTCGAAGGAAATCAATGTCTTAGTCCATGTTAATGCTTGTATAAAAGCGGTGAGCGATTAAATACATTGAACTGGCGGGAAACCTGTTATAAAACACTATTTGAATTCGTCCTTCGCCGACCGGTAGACTAGAGAAATGACAGCTGTCTTTAATATACTAACAATAACAGAAACATATTTAAACACAGCAAAATGCGCTTTATACTCATGTAATAAATGCCTTAATTGTGTGAACACATTGTCGTCTTGGATGCATTGTATTGTAGTATAGCTTTAACTATGAGAAAGGATCTAGTGTGGATTAACAGAACCAAGAAAGGGTAGGGGTCATTAAAACGAATAGATATAATAGAATTATTCTTACGTCACTCATGATTCCCGTTTCAGGTTTAAAGTGAAAGGGGACATGTGGGAACAAATGACAATTAACATGACTTGAATATTAAATAGATATCAACGTTTGGTTTTTTTTTTAATTCTAACGAAATCAGAGGCAAAAGTTTTTTATTAATTATGGACGAATAAATAGGATTCCGTGCTACTAACCTCCTTTGTTGTGTTTGATAAATTCTCAGCGGAACCGAGGTAATGGCGATCCGCTTTGACCGTCGTCTATGTACTGTGATGAATTGTTTTAGAATTATCATCATATTAACTGCTCCGATTAAAATAATTGTCATCTTTAAAAGTTGTTTAAATATTAATCCTTCTATTTATTGAATGTAAATAGTGAAAAACTATACATATTCTTTATTTGAAGGCTGGATTTTTCTAGAAAGATGTAATTAATTTTATCCTGACACTAAATTTATGAAATTTATTCTGGGGACAACAGGAATAAATTCCGATTACATAAAGTGTCAAATACGAATGACAAGTAAGTAATTATGTAATTTTTTAAATAATATTTATTTTTAAATTTGGCAATCAACTATCAAAGAATCGTTCAGTTGCTCCTTCTAATATTATAAATGCGAAAGTAACTCTGTCTGTCTGTCTGTCTGTTACGCTTTCACGCCTA